TATATATTGAATACAAGCAGTGGTACATAAATTAATATACTGAAAAGACAATGTAGTAAAGCGGAATTGATGCTAACAAAAAGCAAGAAATCGGTGAGAAATATTTTTAAATATAGAAGGTGAGAATTTATTTATCGATATCCTGGGATACCTCTGCTGTATAAATGTAGAATATTAACTAAATACATGGTAAATATAGTAATGATATTTATCAATGCACTATTGAAATGCATGTATTCACTTGTGTTAACTAGAACGTTTGAATATTTGCGAGCTTTGCGAATTTATAGATCAAAATATAGATCTGTTATGTACTTGCCAACAATTTTTATTTTATAATTTTTGTTTGATGTTTAGGAAATGTTTTACCTGTGGCAGAAAATTTAAATGGTGCCATACAGGCATATACAGGGACAGTTGTCAAGAAAATATATAATTAAACAAGGTCATATTTGAAGAATTTGGTGAAAGTAGCATTTGTGAGTGACAAAGTTCAGGCAAAAGACATATTGGACAACATGGATGTACATAATTTTGCTGTTCATTTATTTCGTCAAGTCAAGAAATGGCCGAACTACAGTCTGCATAGTGTCATGTTTGTAATATTTTCAAACAAGATTCACCTGATCACCACCCAACAATGGCTTGTTGTTGGACTTCCAGGAACACCGGTATTCTAGTTTATATTCAAATGTTACTTGTTCGAACTAGTTTGTGTTAGAACAGTCACAAGGTACAGCATCTAATTCTTATTAGTATGTAAAAACTGAAGCAACAATTTCAACACGAACACTCCAGGCAGGCACATGTGAACAGGAATAAAATAAAATTTTGAGGTTAATATTGTTAATTTAATACATAATAATAAATGTATTTATTGTAATAAAATTATGAAATTTATTATTAAAATTAATATTGAATTTTTAATTTATTAAATTGTTGAATATGATATTATTACAGCTCCACTAAGCAGAAATAAGCCCCAAAGCATCATCTTTTATTAGTTACTCTGCAGAGAAAGCATCTATTACAATTATTATTTTTTTTATACATGTAAAATATCCAAAAACTTTCTCCATGACAGGTTGCAAATCACTTGAAGGTGAGAAAGGCCAATAAACCAATCCAAGCCCTCTTCAACAGATATCTCTTGTGATACATGTCACTGGAATATTGCTTAATTTTTATATTGCACTCAGTGATGGTTCCTTTTTCCAGAAAAATGACTTTGTACACTTGACCATCAACCTGCATCAAATCACTATATAATCATAATAATATTAATACTCAATACAAGTACTCTTTATTGCTGTGGATATTGTTACTGCAATATTTGCCTTTTATGCTCAAATGAATCCACATCTCTATGAACAAAAGGGGCAAATTGTCCTGGCAGTGCACCATTTAACACCCGTATTCTAAAAGCTCACTCACACTCAGTAAGTGGGGGTTCAATCTGAGCTTGCCTTGAGTGTCAATGTTATTTTTGAACAGCTGGAGGGCTAGTGTCACCTCGTACTCAGTGACTACTTACTTTCCCTATTCCAAATCAGCATTGACACTCAAGAGAAGCTCAGATCGAACCTCCACTCATCGAGTGTGAGTGAGCTTTTAGAATACGGGCATAAATCTCTCTATTTAAATGCTATCTATAGTCCATCTAGCAGGAATCAAACCTGTGTCTCTGCGATTCTGGTCCAGTGCTCTAACTAACTAAGCTACAAAGTCCAGGTGTCAAGCTCTAACTGCACGTTCATGTATATATACAAAAGTAAGTGTGCAGCTGGTTGGATTCCTGCCAGAGGGCTTGTAGTTGCATTTTTCACAACTGCCCTTGGTCAGGACTCATAAATGTATAAACTCAAAATATTTATCTACAAAACCTTTCAAGTTTCAACAGTTAGTTCTATCGGGTGAGATGCACTTAGTGAACTCAGTCAACAGATGATGATCAGGGTGCTACTAATAGTCAAAAAATGTTACAATTTACTTTAAATTTACGTCATTCCTGAAAGAAGTTATTATAATACCTTATTATTTACATTGTACAACCATAATATCTTTAATACTCACGTTTACCTATAAATATTCTGCATATTCTTCCATGTTTATACAATTTTATAAATTCTGGAATTCCGCCATATTGGAAAACATTTACGGGATTTACCAAGCCCGCGAGCACCTGCTTTGCAGGCTAGAAAACGTTTTGTGCTAGTCCTCTTGCGCGCGTTTCGCTCGGTGACGTCACGGAAATCAAAAGCGTGCACAGAGGACTTGGGACTAGTCTGGAAGCAAAGACCCTGGTCGGAGCTGGTCACGTGAACCCCCAGATTTTGGGGGTAAATTGAATTTGATCTCAGGGAGGGGTAGGAGAGTAGTCTGTTGCGTTTGGAAAATTGCAACTTTATGTGTTATAATTTCGGGTGATAAAAATGTAATTTGCAACAAGAGATTGTGAAAGGAACTGTTCTAAATTCGTACCGATCATGACAAGACTTCCTGCTATACTGAATGTCATCAATAATAAGTGTTGCGTTACATTTCAAGCGAGAAGCTGGATCATATTTCATTTGCAAGGAAAACACTCCACACGCGCCTGGCTTGCGAAGTTTAGCACGTATCGCCGTAGAAACATACATATCTTCTACACAGACTGATCGATCAAACGGTATTAAACGAACGATATGGTTCTTTATAGTTGAAGTGTATCCTGTCCGATATTCAAAACAAAAGATTTATTTTATAACGGGATCCTTTGTCTTTGATTTTCCAAACATCGCCAACATGTGTAAACAATAGTGCTATTCTGACTGTAAAAGCACAGGATTAAAACCCGTTATGGACTGGCTATAAAATTCATTTCATTTACATTGCTGAAACTCAACGATCAAGAAAGATAATGTCGAAGTGTAGCTAGCTATCTGTTATCACACCAACGCCAAGACTCCGTACATGCGTTTCCGTGCGTGCGGTACAACTTGAATATCTAGGACGATATATGCCCCAGACACTGGTATTGTACTTTATATAAATTATTTCATATTTTGTATATACAGTAATTTGCAACATGTATAATATTAGACCTTTCATTGACATTGGCATTGTCCATTGAGGGCTTTATTGAAGAATAATCCAGCTTCTTTAGACTTGTATAATGGATTAATGCCACTGTGAGTTGCAATCGAAGTGCGGAAGTGGAAACATGTAATATGAGACTTTTCCACACCCCTCTTGGGCTATCAATTTTCAATGGGTCACGTGACCAGCTCCGACCAGGGTCTTTGCTTCCCAAGAGCAAATAGCCTGGGAACGAGGTTGGTTATAGACATAGTATAATTAATATATTCATATATTATATTGTATTGTAAATTATTGTATTTGGCTCTGAAAAGCCCCCCCCCTGGGGGAGAGCGAAATTAAAGTATTGTATTGTATTGTATTGTATTGTATTGTATTGTATTGTATTGTATTGTATTGTACCACGTAATCACGTATGCTCAGGGCGGCGCTAACCCTCTTCGAGTGGGGGGTGTGAGTGATCTTTTGCCGACTGTTGTTTGGTAATTTTGCCGAGTCATTAGCCTATAGTGAGGGTCCTGAAGGGGGGGGGGTCCCTATCCCATTTTCCACCTGAAATTTTGGCAAAATCCCAGTCCCAGTTGGATTTTTATTAGAAATCCCAGTCCGAGTTATTGAAATCCCAGTCAATAAAAAAACCTTTATTTATCAGTACAATAAACAGTTTTAAGAGTTTTAAGCCATCGTGTGTGCAAGTGGCGCACACTTTATGAAATTTGGGGGGGGGGGGGGCTCGTGCCGAAGGCACGGAAAATTTTTAAATTTGAATCCCGGAAATGGCATTTGCATCATTCTGAGACACGCATAATCAGAAAACCCAAAATTCCGGGCGCCAGAGTATGCCTGTTCGCAGGTAATGCTGTGAATAATATAGTTAACAACAAAAATCATGACTAAAGACACCAAAAACGGGTCAAAATTGGGAATCGACTCACATTACCTCAATCCCATTCCCATTTTTGAGAACTTCATTTCCCATTCCCAGTGGCCAAATCCCAGTCCCAGCAACCCAAATCCCATTTTCCCAGTCTAAAAGGAATCCAATCCCAGTTCCCATTTTACCCCTTCAGGGCCATCTATAGTAAATGTGCATGTTGAATTTATTACCCTCTATTAAGTCGGTTTTCCACTAGCGAATTTTTCTGCGCGAAGCGACTTTTTTCCTTTGTCGGCATCCATTAATTTTGCAGCCCTCGAAAAGTCAAAACCGTCAAAATTGAGGTCGGCAAAAGAGGGCCGACCTAAATCTGACCTAGGTCGGCACATCTCGGCATTTCTTAAAATCAGTGTTCCACGTCTTGGAGCACTATTAATCACGCATTTACGAATCATTGAAATCGGAATATAGCTGGAACGTTACCTATTTTGTTTTCTTGTAATAAATAGTCACTACCACGCATGCTCGAATAACTCATTATGATTTCAGCCCTGGGTTGAAACGATTACATGACAAAATTTTCAACCCAAGACCTGCGCTCCTTCGCCCAGTGGCTACGCTCGTGTTCCCAGATCCGCCATGTAAAGTGTAGTGAAATGTATCTCATCGTCAAATTAAATACTAAGAAAACTAAAGCCTCTGCGGAGGAGAGAGACCCAAGACTGAGTTCAACCCCGGGGTTGAACTCAGCCTTGGGTTGAAAATTTTGTCATGTAATCGCGCGATTGATTTTGATAGAGTTTTGTATTACAGACAGGGCTGAAATAGGTAAACAGGGCTGAGTTCAACCCCGGGGTTGAAAATGCTCCATGTAATCGGCCTCTAATAAACAGCAGATCTAAATATACATGCTTTCAAGTATATCGCTGGGAAAACACGCTGCTTACTGCCAGGGCCTTTTTGAAGCACGGAAATGCCATTTCCTGCATTCTGAGCATCCAAATTTGCTCTAAAATTTATGCTAACTATACTTGTATTTGAAATAAAAGATGGAAAAAATGCACAGAAAGTAAAAAAAAAATATTAACTGTAATTTATCATTACTTATTAGTATAGGTAATCATGCGATGGCGAGTACAATTAGGGATTAATAGTACGAGTGATGTTTGGAAATTTTGCCAAAATTGGACGAGCCGCCGGGGCGAGTCCAATTTGGCAAATTTCCAAACATCACGAGTGGGGGGGGAGGTCGCCCAAAAATTTCCATTGAAAAAAAATTTTCCGGTAGATTTTGAAGTTTTGCTCTATAGAGGTGCCCTTGGTGTGCGTCCGCCCCCCTTTGCCTTATTATCGTTCCGGCGTCCCTGGCCATAGTCGCAGGCATCTCACCCGAGGAATCGGGTGGTCGGGAAAAGTTTGCCATTCGCAGACTAAAACCCATGGGTAGAGAGGCCTGCGGAGGAGGCTAAAATTGCCATATCATCAGCAAAAAGTGTTAAATTAGCATTTTCCAAATAAGAATGCACATCGTCACAAAGTATCGTTCCTTGAGGAGTGGGCATATTCATGTTCTTACAGTCGAAATTCATATTCAAACTCGATCAATATTCACTGTTGCCATACTTTATTCCGACAATGTTTATCCTTTTCCACTGATAACTAGCCTGTGCAAAACCTTAAGCTGCGCACAAGCCCGATAACCAGAAACTGTAAGAACCTCTTTGGCTATGTCACCAATCGGCCTCACCACAGCGCACCTTAGACTTGCCACAAGTCGACCACATGGGGGAGGGAGGGCGAGGGGAAGGGAGCACGCGACCCGACCATAGAAGGGCCAGCTGGAAATTAGGATTTTGGAAAGTCTAAGCGCACCTCTGATAATGTACTATA